TCGGAATGAAGCAAATGATACACCGTTGGAAAGATATCATCGAGGCGCATCCTTTTCATATCTATTATTTTCTCTAATTCTTTACGGTTTAAGAACAGTTTCAAATTTACTAAGTCGCAGAATTCTATTTTTCAAATTTTCAGTACTGTTTTTTCTCCAGTTTTTTAACCGTTTGTCGAAACAAGGCGTGTAATATACCTTCGAAAAGATATGGATGAGGCGCAACTTTCATATGTTGAAATATTTTTCAGATTCCTTACGGGTTTAAGTTAATTTTGAAAATCGTGCGGTTGACGACGAGTGGCAGCAGCCGTTTTTCATGAAATTTTTACAAACCTCTAGTCGGAATGATTCAAATACGCCGTTTATATGTTGAAATATTTTTCAAATTCCTTACGGTTTTAAGTTAATTTTGAAAATCGTGCGGTTAACGACAAGTGGCAGTGGCCGTTTTTCATGAAATTTTTACAACCCGCTAGTTGGAATGATTCAAATGATACGCCGTTGGAAACATATCGACAAGGCGTAACTTTTTCATGTAAAACACTCTCTCTAATTCTTTACGGTTTAAGAGGAATTTCAAATTTACCGACATGCGGATACTCTGTTTTTCGCAACACTCAAATCGATGACGTGCGTAGGACGAGGCGCAACTTTCATATGTTGAAATAGTTTTCAGATTCCTTACAGTTTTAAGTTAATTTTGAAAATCGCGCGGTTGATGACGAGTGGCAGTGGCCGTTTTTCATGAATTTTTTACAAACCGCTAGTCGAAATGATTCAAACGATACGCCGTTGGAAAGATATCGACGAGGCGCAACTTTTTCATGTAGAACACTCTCTCTAATTCTTTACGGTTTAAGAAGAATTTCAAATTTACCGAAATGGGGATACTCTGTTTTTCGCAACACCCAAATCGACGTGCGTACTTCATCGGACTGAAAAGCGCACTGCATCGGATGAAAAACCGCACTGCATCAGACGGGTAAGAGAACTGCATGGTTTTTTTTGGGACTTAAATTTTTTAAAACAAGGAAGAAAACCCCACTGCTTTTTGACTGAAAACCGTACTGCATCATACGAACTAGCGGACTGCATGGTTTCTTTTTTGTGGAACGTAAATTTGTAAAGACAAGAAAGAAAACCGCACTGCTTTTAAACTGAAAACCGCACTGCATCAAACGGGCAAATGAACTTCATGATTTATTTTCTTTTATACATATTTCGATAATGAACTTTGAAAAATGTACTTCTTCAGTTCATTGAGCGCACTGCTTTCACAAAAAAAGATTTTACAAACTGAGTAATCCACACAAATAGTCTTTTTTTTCTGTCTCCACACTACAATCACACACAAACTACAACCCTGCTGCACTTTTTATAAAATGCACTGAACCACACACATTAACATAGCGAGAATGCAAATGCTTTTAGCCGCTGAACCACACGTGCTCGCTGGACGTACTGCACGCACACGTTGCTTCAACTGCACGAAGGCGTTGCCAATGCACTGTACCAGCAAGCGAGCTGCAAAGCAAACTTCAGTGAGCTGCAAAAAAAACTTTAGTGAGCTGCAGAGAGGGGCCCCTCGCCTTGGGCAACCGGAGCCATCGCCATCCTGGACCCATCATCCGTCCACTCCGGCGCCATTGAGGAGCCCACGGCCTGATCACGGCAAGGAGCTCGAACAGAGTAGGAGGGGGTTGATTGGCGACAAACTGCTCACCGCACTTCTTACATCGGCACCGCCACCGGACTACATGAACGCGTGCACCGCACTGCACGACACATGCCGGAGACTGCGAGGGCTCACCCTCAACGAACTGCATCAACGCACTGGAAAATGTACAAAATGAAAGCTTCTGAACTGTACTGCACTACTCATCAGTTTTTCTGAAAACACTAAATTATTCTGAACACCAAAAATTTTGGGACGGGATGCGCACGGAGTCGCACTTCCGTACTGCACGCAGTTGGTGGCTGGGACCTCGCCAGAATACGAGGAAAGGGGGTCGGCAGAGAGGTTGGGGAGAAGGTCACCTGAATGAGAAGGATGCGACGGGGGTCAGATTTGCGGTGGAGGAAGGAGTCCAGCTGCACGCGCGCAGGTGGGGATCCGGCCGCCAGCGCGTGGTGATAGAGCTTGTCGTATCCGATGCGGGGGAGATGAGGAGGTGGGTTGACTCGTCGGAACTGCACGCCGTCACGCCATCATGTGCGTGCGAACTGCATCGACGACCACAACTACCTGCAACGATATTTTATCTGCACTGCTCGCCGTCAGTAGGAAGACAACATGGGTGCTAGCAGGGACAAACCGCATGGGTGTGCGTGACCGAACTGCAAGAATCAAGTGAGGGAGGTGAGGAGCGGCGGTGCTCTCGCTGCTCTCCTAGCTGCCGTGCTGCTCACTCCCCAGGTGCTGCAGGTGGGGAAGGCTAGCGGCTTAGAGCCTCCGCCTCCTCTGTGTCCCTAGGTGCGGTGCAGGTAGATCTCCATCCGGGAGAGGCGGCACCCGAGGGACGCAGAAGTGGTGCGGGCCGGAGCCAGCAACCCGCCATGCGGCCCGTGAGGAAGTAGATGACCGGGGAGGTGCCGGTGTGGCGCGGTGGGCTGGGCGGCGGCCAAGATCCGAAGGTCTGTGGCGGCGGCGCGTGTGCCGGGGGACGACGGCTGGACGGAGGTGGTGCGGGCCAGCGCGGGGGAGGTAGGTCGCGAGGCGGGTCGGGGGAGGCCCGGATCCCGTGGCCGGCTCACCGGAGGAGGATGCCGGGGTGGTAGGCTCCCGGCGACACATCCGGGCTAGTAACTGCTTCTATCGTGCATCCGGGCGACGGATCTGGGGCATGGGTGCGGGGAGCTGGCTGGGGGGAAGAATGGTGGTGGAGGCGGAGGGGATCGAGGGGATAGGGGAGGAAGAGATGTGGAGGTAAGTGCGTGCGTGGGTGGGTGGGCTGAGGTTAGGAGGTGTTATCAGAATAGAAGGTTTTTGTTATTAAATTAAGAGTCTTAAGGGTGTTATCATAATAGAACTGGTTTGAATAAATATGGAAAATTGTCGGCTTTCGAATCTAGTTATTGGTGCTTCATGTTGAAGCCGGCTTGATAATCATTGGTATTATAACAAAGGCATATAGGCGTTAGTTATTGACTAAACAAATTTTATAACTGCAAATGGTTAACCTGGCCAATAGACCGGCTCCTGCAAATGCATGTATATATGATGCATTGTATGATGATGCAAATGTATGATGATGTATGTGTATGATAACAGAGTTTAAAATGTTGGCTTTCGAGGCTCGGCATAAGACTGGCTTTCGAGGCGCGAGTCTTGGTTTTGCTTCCCGTGGAAGCAGGCCTTGTAGCCTCTTTTGGTTTATCCTCGCTTTTTGTAAGCCGACTCTTACGTGACTTAAACCGGTATTTTAACCTTGACAAGTTTAGCGTCAATTTTCATTGACTTATCAAGAGTACACCGGGTCACCTCTTCAGAGTAGCATCAAGCTAACATGCAGGTTTAACCAACTTTCATAATGACATATGCCGTGTCAAGAGGGATGTTAATAGCTAAACTCAATGAGTTGGAAGCCCCCTAGTGACCATATGATCATTGGAAAGCTCAACATAGGATATACAGGAGACACTGCTACTACTGCAAAACATCTGGGTCCAGATAAGCCGACTTTATTCCATTGATCATAATATATACAGGAGACAATGCTACTACTATAGGTGTGTTAAGGTTTTTGAGCCGTAGGCATTTTAAGTTTGCCGAATGTAGGCATTTTTGAGGTTGCCCAACCATAAAATCACATGAAGATGAACATGGAGTTACCTCTGAGGTTAACTCAAAAGTGCTAGTCTATTTTATTTGAAGAATAAAATCATGAAAAACATGAAAATGACTTAGCTGTTTTTATGCCTCAACGTTGACGATGTGATGTGAACCCGCGGAAGGTTGAGGTCGACCGCGGCGGGTTATAGATGGCCCCCCATGAGTCGCTTGGGAGTAACCCAGCCGATGATTCGACCCGGTGGCTTGTTAAAGTTGACCAAACCGCAGTGGCGGCGACTTGTGCGCATGCCCATTGAGCCATCCGGTGCAGGTGGAGGCTGGTAATATGTTATTTTTTGCTCCAGAGTTGATGGAGTAGACTGGGACATAGGGGTGGCGGCCTGCGCGCGCCCGCTGAGCAATTCGTGCGGACGGGTGCGACTCCGGTTTGTTGATATAGACGCGGGGGTCGGCCACGATGTTCGAAGTTGGCGCGGACGCGTGAGTCAGCTGCGGCTTTGTATGCCGGCGTGAATGAGACAGTCGACCGCAATGTTGTAAGACTGCATGGATGGAAGAGTCGACCGCGGCGTTGTAAGCTGGCGTGGACGCTCGAGTTGCACACGGCGTTGTAAACCGGTGCGGACGTGTGACTCCGACGCGGTGTGTTGGTGAAGACCAGACCATAGGGGCGGCGGCTTGCGCGCATCTGTTGGGTAGCTCGGGCGAGCAGACGCGACACTGGTACGGTCTCCGGGTTTCGTTGTAGACTAGACTGTGGGGGGCGCCGGCTTACGCACTTGTCCATCCGCGTGGCACGAACAGATGCTAGTCGCAAGATGGTGCTGTGGGCGCTCCGTACCTGTGATATGATGTCATTTTTATAGTGAACACTTGCCCTCTTCACTGCTTCTATAAACCTTGCGAAAATGTCAGACTCAATTTGTGACTCCGCGAGCGTGAGCAGATGGTTTAAACATCCGTTCCATGCGCCAAAACCTGAGTGTCTTCACGTGCTTCTGGAGTCAAGCAACAACACTATGAAGTAGTCAAGATGTTCGGTATCTGAATGTATCCAACTGAAATTTAGGATCCCTGAGATGATCTTCCCCTTCCCACTGAGCAGTAACATGATTAGGCTGAGACAAGTAGGTGCCAATGGAGTCTCTCAAGTAGTTCCAGGTGACTGAGAGTGTTCATCCCTTGAATTTTTGTTGATATTGCTTCAGGAGATCTCCAGCAACCTGCTGCAGCGAACTATGTTGTCTCCTTCAAATGTTTGAAATATATCATGATCATTCCACAGACCACCAAAATGATTTACAGCAGGATACCCATGGACACCACACGATTCTCGGCATATGCGGATAGATTTTGCTGTGTATGAAGTTATGTAGGATTTCAACCCAGATGAAAGTACATGGACATCATCCGTAACATCCTCGTCATTGGTTTTCTTCATTTCCGAGTACATATCTACCAAATACGCTCTGGAAAAATGAAATGCATACGCTGATGCCAACATAGGCATTAGTTTATGCTGGTGCGATTGGTAATCCATCACACTGATTTCAGACTCCTTAGGTAGACCAAACTGTTGACGCAGTAAAGCATATCTAACAGCAATGGTCACTGCAACTTTGAGTACTCCCACAAAACTATATGCAAGGACAACTCCCCCCAACAAGCTCACCGAGGGTTGCTGCAAATCTTCTGTTAATCGTGGGGAGACTGCTTATGTATTTTCCATCTCGCGCCACATCACCGAATCGGTTCAGAAGGTTGTCACGAGGTATCCTAACTGAATAGAATCTCAGGGCACCACTATCTACAACATTTAGGCCTATCTTGTACCCACAATCATTGATCTCAATTCCAGGGAGAACAGCCTGAGTTTCAAGGTCCGTGAAAGGTCCCGAAGAATAACGCTGGGAGAAGGCCCGGGTCGGCGAGCGCGTCATGCGCCACCGTGATACGTCTCCAACGTATCTACTTTTCCTAACACTTTCCCTCTTGTTTTGGACTCTAATTTGCATGATTTGAATGAAACTAACCCCGGATTGACGTTGTTTTCAGCAGAACTACCATGGTGTTGTTTTTGTGCAGAAATAAAAGTTCTCGGAATGGAACAAAACTTTGCGCAGAATTTTTATATAATATATAAGAATTTCTGGAGCCAAGACCTATCGAAGGGGGGCACTTGGGTGGGCACAACCCACCAGGGCACACCCCCCTCACCAGGCGCGCCCAGGTGGGTTGTCCCCACCTGGTGGCCCCGCAGACCCTAAAACCAACGCTATAAAATCCTACTTTTCCAAAAAGAATCAGGGAGAAAGAATTATCGCGATCCACGAGACGGAGCCGCTGTCACCTCCTGTTCTTCATCGGGAGGCCAGATCTAGAGTCCGTTTGGGGCTCCAGAGAGGGGGGTCTTCGTTCTTCATCATCACCAACCCTTCTCCATCGCCAATTCCATGATGCTCCCTACCGTGAGTGAGTAATTCCCTCGTAGGCTCGCTGGTCGGTGAGGAGTTGGATGAGATTCATCATGTAATCGAGTTAGTTTTGTTAGGGCTTGATCCCTAGTATCCACTATGTTCTAAGATTGATGTTGCTATGACTTTGCCATGCTTAATGCTTGTCACTTTGGGCCCGGGTGCCATGATTTCAGATCTGAACCGTTTATGTTATCACCATTATATCCATGTTCTAGATCCGATCTTGCAAGTTATAGTCACCTATTACGTGTTATGATCTAGCAATCCTGGAGTGACAATAATCGGGACCACTCCCGGTGATGACCGTAGTGTGAGGAGTTCATGTATTCACTATGTGTTAATGCTTTGTTCCAATTCTCTAATAAAAGGAGGCCTTAATATCCCTTAGTTTCCAATATGGACCCTGCTGCCACGGGAGGGTAGGACAAAAGATTTCATGCAAGTTCTTTTCATAAGCACGTATGACTATTTACGGAATACATGCCTACATTATATTGATGAACTAGAGCTAGTGCCGTATCGCCCTAGGTTATAACTGTCTCATGATGAGTATCATCCAACAAGTAACCGATCCAATGCCTACAAATTTATCCTATATTGTTTCTGCTAAGCTACTATTGCTATCATCACTGTTACACTTGCTACAAAACTATTCCTACCATTGTTATTGTTATCGTTACTGTTGCTACTATTATCAAAACTATCATACTACTTTTCTACTGGTCACTATGCTGCAGATAATTAATCTCCAGGTGTGGTTGAATTGATAACTCAGTAGCTACTACCTTCAAATATTCTTTGGCTCCCCTATGTCAAAACTATAAATTTGGGTTGAATACTGTACCCTCGAAAACTGTTGCGATCCCATATACTTGTGGGTTATCAAGACCTTTTTCTGGCGCCGTTGTCGTGGAGCATAGCTATATTTGTTGAGTCACTTGGGATTATTATCACTTTATCACTATGAAGAATCTGAAGGATGCTAAGACTAAGATATTTCCCTCAAAGACGAGGGGAGGTAAGGAACTGCCATCCAGTTCTGCTTTAGATTCACCTTCCGTTATAAGTAAACTTGCAACACCACCACATGCTATTAATTTTGATATTTCGCAAGTTATTGATGATGCTATCTCTGCTATGGATAATGCTTATGATGATGCTAGTACCTTGCTTAATGATGATGTGCCACTTGGTGACTTTCTTGATAAACAAATTGCTAGAGTAACACAACATGATGTTGTTGAATCTGATGATGAGCTTGAGACTGAAATTCCTGAAACACCTGCTAGAACTAGCTCTCCTAGACATGAATTTTCTAAGGTACCGGAAGGTTATGTTATGAGTGAGGAAACAACTAGAGATATTCTTGCTTGCAGAGATAGAGATGATCTAGAGAAATTATTATGCAAGTATAAAGAAAAATCTCTGAATGCTAGAATGAAATGTGACCCTAAGTTTGCCACTTCACCTATCTTTATTGATGATAAGGATTATGAATTCTCTGTCGACCCAGAGTTAATTACTTTGGTTGAATCTGATCCTTTCCATGGTTATGAAACTGAAACTGTTGTGGCACATCTTACTAAGTTGAATGACATAGCCACCCTTTTTACCCATGATGAGAAAACTTACTATTACTTTATTCTCAAATTATTTCCTTTCTCATTAAAGGGTGATGCTAAAGCTTGGTACAATACTCTTGCTCCTAGTTGTGTGCGTAGTCCCTAGGATATGATTTATTACTTCTCTGAAAAATACTTTCCTGCTCATAAGAAACAAGCTGCCTTACATGAAATATTTAACTTTGTTCAAATTAAAGAAGGGAGTCTCCCACAAGCTTGGGGGAGGTTTTGCCAATTACTTAATGCTTTACCGGATCATCCTCTTAAGAAAAATGAAATACTTGATATCTTCTATAATGGACTAAATGATGCTTCTAGGGACTTCCTAGATAGTTGTGCTGGTTGTGTTTTCAGGGAACGAACCATTGGACAAGCTGAGGAATTATTGAATAACATATTGAAAAATTATGATGATTGAACTATTCCTGAATCACCGCCTAAAACCACTCCGAAGTAGAGGGGTATATTATATCTCGGTCCTGAAGATATGCAAGAGGCAAAGAAATCTATGAAGTAAAATTGTATCAAAGCTGAGGATGTTACAAATTTACCTCCTATTGAAGAAATACATGGGCTTAATACACCACCACTGCCTAAGGTGGTAGAGGTAAATTCTCTAATGAATTTCAATGATAATGACAATCCTCACAATATGTATCATAGACAATGCCTTTATGAGTTTGAAAACTACATTAGAAAACAAGATCACTTCAATGCAAATGTTATGAAACAATTGAAATACAATTCTGATATGATTGCTTGCTTGAGTGACTTGTTATTTGGAATATCAAATGATGTCAGAGGTGTTGGAAAGCATGCTTCTATGGTTCAAACTCAGTTAGAACAAGTTGCTAAATCTCAAAGAGAATTGCTTGATGAAATGAATAATAATATGCGTGACTTTGCTGTTAGAGTTGCAACTAGAGGAGGTAAAATGACTCAGGAACCACTTTATCCTGAGGGACACCCAAAAAAATTTGAACAAGATTCACAAAGAGCTAACACTAGTGTACCTAGTCCTTCTAGAAAGAAAAAGAAAAATGATAGGACTTTGCATGCTCCTAGTGAACCTGAAATAGAAAAACCTCCTGATAATGATAATGAAACTTCTATCTCTGATGCTGAAACTCAGTCTGGTAAGGAACATTCACCTAGTGATAATGAAAAAGATAATGCTGATGTTCATGAAAATACTCAACCAAATAATAAAGAACCAGACAATGATGTTGAGATAGAACCACCTGTTGATCTTGATAACCCACAACCTAAGAATAAAAGGTATGACAAAAGAGACTTCATTGCTAGAAAACACGGTAAAGAAAGAGAATCGTGGGTTCAAAAACCTATGCCTTTTCCACCTAAGTCAACTAAAAAGAATGATGATGAAGAATTTGAACGCTTTGGTGAAATGTTGAGGCCAGTCTTTTTGCGTACTCGCTTGACTGATATCTTGAAAATGCCTCCTTATGCAAAGTATATGAAAGACATCATTACTTATAAGAGAAAAATACCGGAAGCTGAAATCTCCACTATGCTTTCTAATTATACTTTTAAAGATGGAGTACCTAAAAACTTGGAGATTCGGGAATACCAACTATACCTTGCTCCATCAAAAAGAATTATGTGAAAACTCCTTTGTGTGATTTAGGAGCTGGTGTTAGTGTTATGCCTTCTTATTTATATAAAAGACTTGATTTGAATAAACTCACACCTACTGAAATATCTTTGCAAATGGCTGACAAATCAACTGCCATACCTATCGGTATCTGTGAGGATGTGCCCGTTGTTGTTGCTAATGTTACTATTTTGACTGACTTTGTTATAGTTGAGATGCCCGAGGACGACAACATGTCGATTATCCTTGGTAGACCCTTCTTGAATATAGCAGGGGCTGTTATTGATTGCAATAAAAGCAAGGTCACTTTTCATATCAATGGTAATGAGCATATGGTGCACTTTCTGAAGAAACAATTCCAAGTGAATGGTATTAATGTTATTGAAAAGTCTCCGACAATCACTATTGGAAGTTTTCAAGTACCTCTACCTACTGTCAAAAAGAAATATGAAATGCTTATTGTTGGGGACATTCACATCCCCATTGAGGTAACTTAGTGATTTACGAAAGTTCTTCGGTTTCATGCTAATCGAAAGTGGTTGTTAATAAGACTTGATCAACCTTATTAATGGATCATTTTTTAGCGGTATGAAGTGGATGAATTTAGTAAGCACTAGCTTCTGTCCCTACTTTTTGTTTTCTGTTTTTATTAGTTAAATAAAACCGAATGCCATGTTTTGTTTGTTTTCTGAATTTATCGTGCAATAAAAGATGACCCAAAAATAAAAGTTCTCAGAATGCCCTGAAAATTTAATATATTTTTTATGAATATTTTTGAATTTTTGGTGCAAATAACATCAGAGGGAGGTGCACCAGGTGGGCACAACCCACCTGGGCGCGCCAGGACCCCCAGGCGCACCCTGGTGGGTTGTGGTCCCCATGTGGGCCCCCTCACTTATCTCTTTACACCACATCATCACTTACCCCCAGAAAAAATCTCCATTGCTCTCTCTCCCGGGTTCTTGCTCTCAAACCCGTGAATTTCGATCTCTTTGCTCGAAGCTCCGTTTCCGAAACTGTTTCGGGGGATTGTTGCTTGGTATGTGGCTCCACCGTTTGTCCAATTATTTTTTGTTTTAGTGGTTTATATTTTGAATAATTAGCTACTCTTGGTGCCGATGTAGATGAGCTTGCATGTTGTATTCTTAGTGTTCTAAGTAGTTGGAATGCTTGCTATGGCCTCTATGTATCCCTATGAGTAGTTGCTATCAATTTGATAAATTTTT